TTTCGATTTACACATTTAACAACATAATAAACTCCACCCAAATAGATTTGAATCGATCCAACTTCCGAAAATGAAAACTTTGAATCAATCCGAATTCTAAATAACGAATATTGAACTGATCCAAATTTCAGAAAAAGAGAAAACAAATCCTAAACAAAATGAAAACTAAACAAAATTTTCGGCCAATCAAATGTCTAATGCTGACCTTGCCAAAGATCAATAGTTTGGGTTTCCTAAAAATGGCCAAATTTACTAAAACCTTCCCTGTACACACACTTTTACAGCTGGTATTGTACTGTTATTGGGATCACCCCGAAAATCTGTTTATCCCTCCTAAACGATTTGCTCAGCAATACCCTGTTCAATAGGGTTTTCTTAAGAAATTGACTGTTCCTGTTGTAGATCCTGCTCCGATAACTCTGGTTACGCCACTGCTCAGTACCCCATAATGACAACGTGAAAACAGAATTTTAGAAATGTCTGTGAATTTATTTTTAAAAAATAATCAAAAATCACATATACTTAAGTATTCAGACCCTTTACTCAGTACTTTGTTGAAGTACCATTTGGGTTTTATACGACAAGCTTTGCACACCTGGATTGGGGAGTTTTCTGCCATTCTTTGCAAATTCTTTCAAGCTCAGTCATGTTAGATGGGGACCGTCGGTGGACAGCCATTTTCAGGTCTCTCCAGAGATGTTCTGTAGGTTTCAAGTCAGGGCTTTAGCTGGGCCACTCTGAACATTCACAGAGTTGACAACGATCCAGAGCCACTCCTGTGTTGCCTTGGCTCGTTGTTATGTTGGAAGGTAAACCTTCGACCCAGTATGAGGCCTGAGCACTGTGAAACAGGTTTTCATTGAGGATATGTCTGTACTTTGCTACATTCAGCTTTTCCTCAACCCTGACCAATTTCGAAGTCCCAGCTGCTGAAAAACACCCCCATAGCATGATGCTGCCACCACCATGCTTCGGTGTTGGGCAGGTGATGAGCGGTGACTGATTTCCTTCAGACAGAATGTTTACAATAGAGGCCAAACAGTTCAATCTTGGTTTCATCAGACCAGAGAATCTTGTTCCTCACAGTCTGAGAGTCATTCGGGGGCTTATTTGCAAAATCCAAGCAGGCTTTTATGTGTTTTGCACTGAGGAGAGGCTTCTGTCTAGCCACTCTGCCATATAGGCCAGATCTGTGGAGTGCTGCAGTGATGCATGTCCTTCTGGAACTTTGTCTCATCTCCACACAGGATCTCTGGAGCTCAGTCAGAATGACCATCTGGTTTTTGGTCACCTCTCTTACTAAGGCCCTTCTCCCCCAATAGCCCAGTTTGGCCGTGCAACCAGCTCTTGAAAAGAGTCCTGAAAATGCCAAACTTCTTCCATTTGAGAATTATGGTGTGCTCTTGGGAACCTTCAGTGAAGCAGAATTTTTTTTTGTTGTAGCCTTCCCCAGATCTGTGACTTGCAATAATCCTGTCTCTGAGCTCTGCATGCAGTTCCTTTCCACCTTATGGCTTTTGCTCTGATACAGTGTGCATTGCAACGATCAAGAGAAATGGGAGGAACCTGAGCTAAATGTCAAGTGCTGTTGCAAAGGGTCTGTACATGTGATATTTCAGTTTGTTCTTTTTAATAAATTCACAGAAATTTCTTACATTCTGTTGTTTTTTTAACTTTGTCATTATGGGGTACTGAGTGTACATTAATGAGAATTGTTTTTTAAACATTAGTAGTATCAGGCTGCAACATAACAAAATTGAAAAAAGTGAAGGGGTCTGAATACTTTCTGAATGCACTGTATTTCAATTCAGTTATTTCAAATGTATATTTAGCAGTTTGCCTGCAGCCATGTTTTAAAACTACTAGTCATCGATGGACACTTAGAGTAGCTCTGCCACTGAGATCTCACACCCACACTACTAATTAAATGGTTAGAAAACTAGCATAGCTGTCTGTAGAACACATTTATTTGGTCATTGATCATAATTACTGCCTGAACAATTAGTGTAATAGTGCAGACTCTCAGGTGGGCTGTGCAGGGTCTATGGTGAGTTATGCAGGATCTATGGTGGGCTGTGCAGACTTTCAGGTGGCTGTGCGGGGTCTTAGGAAGGGTGTGTGGTCTTACCAGGGGTACCGGTTGGTCTCTGCAGGTAGGGGTGGCGTGAATCCACATGAAGGAGGAGATTTTCTGCCGGCACTGTAAACCGGTACCGCGATTCACAGGAAGGCGGTTGGTACCTTGCTGGGGACCTTGGCAGCTTTCCTATAAAGCCCGGTACCTGTTTACAGTGGCGGCTTCGGGCTTAAAAATGTAAACCCGAAGGTGCAAAGGACACATGAAATGGCCTGGCGGGCCAGATTTGTCCTGCGGGCCTTGTGTTTGAATCGTGCTCTAGCCTTTGTTTAAGTTTTCACCAATGGTGTGTGAGCCAGGGGTCATCTATGAAAGACTGATGAGGTCTGGGTGTCATCTAGAGTTGCCACCTTTTGGCCCATGGAAAACCGAACATAGGGGAAAGGGAATTATTGTTGTTAGTAATAAAGAGCATTTTAATACAGAGTTTATATTTCATTAAATCCTATCTCTAATCAAAATGTTCCTTTCTGTTTTGGATAGAGTAGGGAATGGTTAAAACCCCCTTCAGTTTTTTTTTTTCTGTCTGTGTTCCATTGGGGAAACACAACAGGTAAAGAAGTCTCTCCAAAGTGTGGGGAAAATCCCCTCTTAGGGGATTTCCTCCAAGCAGGAGCAAGAGTCTTAACTGGAAGCTATTTCCTCTGTTACTACTCTGTTGACAACTGTAACATTTTGGATTTCCCATCTTTTGCTATCCTAGTGACAATGGTCACCAGGACAGAAAAAGAGGGTTAATCTCCCTAGCAGGGAAACGGGGATAACAATAACAATTTGACAGGGGTTTTAAACAGTCACACCTTTTCTGACCGTTTTGACTAGAGATACATTTAAAGGAGAACTGTGGGGATAAGGCTTTTCCCCATAGTTCTCCTTAGGGTAACAGGAGGACACAAACTAGCGTCCTCCCGTCACACTAAGCTCAGTATACCGCGAGTTATAGCTCGCGGTATACTGAGATGCCACAGTATACCGCGAGCTACTGCTTGCGGTATACTGAGACGCCGTAGCTGAAGCCGATCCCGACAATTATGTCTGGATCCGCCCAGCTGCGTGAGTGACAGCCCCCTCCCCCATCCGATCCGCCAGTCAGCGCTGGCGGATCGAATCGGGGAGGGGGGAATCCAGCCCCTCCCCTGTCACGGCAGAGATCTGTGACAGGATCGAGAGGTGAGCGGACGCCGGTATGTGTTCGCTCACCTCCTGATCTACTGAGCCGACCTGTGTTAGTCTCATTGTCACAGGTCGGCTAGAACTATGAGGTGAGTGAAAAGCACTCTCCTCATAGTTCTCCTTTAATGATAACCAAAATCTTCCCTTTGGTCTATGATGTAAGGTAGCTTATAACCCCTCAATTGTACTTACTGCCGTGTCTCTTTGTTTTAATTAGACAAAAAATTATGTTTCAAGTACAAAGCATGGCAAAGTCATTTACCCCCTTAGTTAATCTATTTTTGCCCTCCATCCTCTCACTATGGATTTCTATCTATTTGTTTATGTTACTGTTGTTATAAAACATTCTTTATTTTTTGTAAAATGTATTAACTTTTGTAGTACTGTTTAAAATTATACAAAGATTTTTTTTTTTAAATCACTTATTTTAACCCCTTCATGGCTGAGCTTGTTTTCAGTTTCTGTTCATACTTTCTTACTGAATGTACCCACATATATTATATATTGTTTTTTAGAGGACAGATCGGGCTATATAATTATATCAAACACGTGTACCTAACGCCTCACTTAGTTCAAATAAAATATTAAAAAATGAGGAAACATTTTTAAAGAAAACACTTTCCGGCCCGGAGCTCTGTCAGTTCTGAGCTCCAGCCGAATGAAGGATCATTAGTAAGGTTGGGAGTGTATTATTATGTGTATTATTATGTGTGCAGGGGGGGGATTGGAATGGGGGAGTCCCCTATATTTCAGGTGCGATTAGGGATTCCTGTGTCACAAACTTGCGTTTTTCTGCTGCAGGAATCCCTAATCTGGCATTTACATGCAGAAACTGTCACCCATTCAAGTTAATGATCAGGTGACAGCTGCTGCATGTACACACCTGCATACCGCATGTGATATGATTACATGCAGGCATTTACATGCAGCAGGTGTCATCATAAGATGGAGGAAAAAAACTGGA